AAATAATATATATATATATTTTTTTAGTCAGTCTGTTTCTTCTGTCCTCCCTGTTCTCCCCACAGGTCCTGGACAGTGAACTCCCAGTATTGGAGCCCTACTTTGTCCAGAATCCAGAAGCGTTGGACTCCTGCTGGTATGAGGGTCACCTGGCTGGGCCACGCTACAGTTCTGGTCAACATCCTGACCGACCCCATTTTCAGCCAGAGAGCATCATTTCTTCAGTTCATGGGGCCCAAACGATACAGTGGACCCCCCTGCACAGTGGAACAGGTTTGAAGATCTTTCATGTTCTCGCTTTTACTTTGTGAACAGACAGAATCCTTTGAATCAAACCTGGCTTTATTCAGCTCAGTCCTCTCCTACAAACAGCTGCCGAGGACAGACGCCGTCCTCATCAGCCACTCTCATTACGACAACCTGGATGCTGGATCTGTTGCCAGCCTTAATGCACGCTTTGGAGGGGAGCTACACTGGTATGTGTCCCAAATGGTTCCCCCACACCTTCCACAGTGTCCCTGTGAAATATGTTGAATGTTTTAACAGGTTTGTACCCCTGGGTTTGATGGACTGGCTGGCCAAGATGGGCTGAGAACGTGATGGAGCTGGACTGGTGGGAGGAAAACTGTGTCCTGGGTCACGACGTCGTCACGTTTGTCTGCACACCCACTGGAGCAACCGGACAGCGTGGCATGATAACCGGGTACTTGATAGTAAATGTTGTAGTGTGTGGGGACTGCTATCAGTTTGGTTTTATAAACAGCACTGATAATCTAAGTGCTGCAACGTTATGGTTGGGCAAGTGAGCAGAAATGTATTCTGTGATAGCAGCAATTTATTGAAGTCTGCAGCCCAACATTTTTAAATGAAGAAGATAGATTAAACAAAAAGGGCAAATCTTCTCTTTCTCTCCATGAAAATCTTTCTTTAATTTTCTGCTGCACTAAAACTGTCAGAATTGTAACCATTTAACTTTTTATATCTTTTCAGTCTTTATGGAGTAGCTGGTCTGTTTTGGGTCCCAACCATCGATTCTTCTTCGCCGGCGACACAGGCTACTGTCCGTCCTACCAGGAGATCGGACGCCCCCTATTGGAGCAAACCTGCCCAGGTAGAGAGGCACACACTTCTGGGGCATACTTATGTGTTTCATATGAAGTTATTTAATATGTGCAGAAGCTGACAAATTCACTGAAACCACTGTTACAGGTTCATATTATAGTGCAGTAGCGTAGTCCAACACTTGCTAAGTATACCAATGTGTAGCCAGTGGTACTCGGTTTAAGGTCTCCTTTCATACACATGCATACAAAAATATCTTAATGTTCAGTTTCAGCATTTTAATAAGCATTAAGCAGGACTTGTCATTTCCTGTTGGGTTTTCAGGGATGTGATGAAGAGACGGCATGTGGATCCAGAAGAGGCTGTTCAGATTCATCAGGACCTTCGCCCTCACCTATGAGGTAGGATATTGGAAAAGAATCAGCAGCAGTCACTACATGTAATGTCTTAAGTTAAAATAGAAGCAGCCTGCCTTTATACAGTGTAAATTAAATGTCAACCATTTGTTAGGACGGTAAAAATTGGTCTTCGCTCAGAGGTGAGGAAGTCTAGACTTAAATTATGTAACCAGTTCTACCTCATACTACACTGAGAAAGAAAACAATATTTAGATATTATTTAACTTAAAAATACTATTTCTTTCAACATTATCTGGGAACCCTCTAATAACTGACAAGTGTTTAGTATGAAACCATAGATTTCTATCTTCTTAAACTCAAGTCCTTCCTCCATAATCTTATCTCGAGATAAAATCTAGAAAAGATTTCGCTATATCTCTTTATCTCGAGATAAAGAGATGAGATCTTTTCTAGATTTTTATCTCTTTATCTCGAGATAAAGAGATGAGATCTTTTCTAGATTTTTATCTCTTTATCTCGAGATAAAGA